GGGGGGGGGGGGGGGGGGGGGGGGGGGGGGGGGGGGGGGGGGGGGGGGGGGGGGGGGGGGGGGGGGGGGGGGGGGGGGGGGGGGGGGGGGGGGGGGGCGATGACTAGGGTATGTATACCGGGAGGATGTATACAGATGGGACGTGTCGATTGATGATTGCTATTATTCCACGGGGAGCTGGGGTATGAGGGTCTGATTGGAGGTGGATGTCAATGGTATGGAGTACCATTGGGGGGTCTCGGTGTACTGAGGCGGCATTTTGTGTGGACCTGCCAGTTGACATGGAAGGGGAACTTGGACTCTGGAGGAGAGAGGGAAGCGACTGGTGTCGTCCCCTAGTTATTGTCCAGAGAGTTACCTTCCAGACTTCGTGGAAAATAATAATAAAATTGACACTTCGGAAAAATACAATAAATAAAGCCGCTACGAAGGAACCTTTCCTCTCACACATTATTATTGTTCCGTATTTTGTGCCGTTGGTGGGTTCACAGCAGTCCGTCTCTCACACAATCGATCTCGCTCGTCGCGATGTACAAGAACAGACTAGTTGTGGCCTCTTGCGTTAGTTTAGACTACATGATGTACATAGCCTTGGATAGATCCTCGCATTGCTACAATACTTCCTCTCCCGATCTCTCGGTGAGTCGGGTTGCGGTGGGGTTAGAGGTTGCTTCTCCAGAGCAGTAGTAGTACTCTGATGGGGAGATGCCGCACCTGTGCCGTGCGGAACGGCAGCAGTTTTCGTCGACAACCCGCCGCATTGTTCATCACCATGCGCCGCCGAATCACTCATGGATTGGCCATCACCCGCAGAAGCAGCAGCCGCAGCGGCAGCCGCAGCAGCGTTGGCAAGGGGAGAGAAGCAGAGAGAAAACCGGGAGAATAAACTACTGTCTCATCACGTAGGTTTGCATCGGGGCGCTGGTGTGGAACGAGCACGACTAGGAGGTTGATATCACGCGTCAGCTTTACAGGCATCCCTGCACCGCGTAGCAAGTGTAACAGGCTGTTTGTACGAAGTGCCGTGATATCTTAGCTCACTTTGGATTACAACATCAAGCCTTGTGTGTGTGTGATCGGTATCTCGTGGAACGACTCGGGGGACCTTTTGGGCAAGATAACATCCCCCCTGTGTTTTATTTCGTAGTGCCCGCAACCTCCCCGGTCCCGATAAGTACCAATTTGGGTATTCTACGCTGCAGTCGCTGGCTCGCCACACCAAAACACGTTTTGGGAGCGTGTTCAGAAAATGCCAGCCTCCGTGAGTTGTTGTACATGCGCAATTTCCATTGCGATTTGACCTCGCTGCGTGTTACGGTTCGGGGCATTCATCGTTCCGCAAGTACAACCCCACCGAGGTAGTTGGCCGCATTCAGCGGAGCCTCTGCAAGAGCTGTCTGGACTCGCCCTCCTCTGCTCACAACCAGGCTACCATCCTGAGCCTGAACTAAAAGAATAAGACCATAACATCCACAATGAGGCCTTTGCTCCGACGCTACATCGGCTACTACAGCTGGTACGAGTATCTTCACTACTCATCGCACTCGGTACAGTCGTTCGATTGCACAACGAGAGGTCAGTGTGTGTGTATCGTGCATGAGCGAATACCTTTCAGGAGCCATAATCCCCTTTCTCGCGCTAAAAACCGTGCCGTGAACGGGAGCTGTACGTACTTACGGCTTCCACACTTGAGATCTCTACCCTGCGTGCTAGCGACTCGTGACATGGTGTACAATCCGTGAGCACGCGCTCGCGCCGCGCGTGTGAGTTATGTTGTTACATGCTTGTATCCCTTTGCCGCTCTGCTGCTTCGCTGTGTCCCTTACAAAACCACGGCCGCTGTGGCCGATCCATGAAATTCCTGTTGTCACAATCTATTGCACAAAGAGAGCCATGTTCGTGTGTCTGTATACGAGCATGGTAGATCTGCTAGCAGCACGGGGGGGTACGTAGACAGGATCATGCGTATGCCTGAAAAAGGCTACTATGTGTGGGCCCCCCTTCCCCGAATTCGGGAGGGCCACTTCTTCCCTTCCTTTCCTCGCTTCCACGGGTGCCTAAAGTTAAAGCGTGTCTTCTCCTCCCAAGTACGGACATACCAACACAATAGTGTTTATTCCCTCGAGGGAGTTCATTAGGGATGGCGGGCCGCAGAACCGGGGGGACCACTCCGGACGGCTCGCAGGCAGGAGACACAAATAGCAGCGAGCAGATCGACAGCATGCGGTCTGAGATCAGTTCGCTGACACAGCAAATGGGCCAGCTGATGCAGCTGGTCGGAGGACTTGCTGCACGTATAGAGGAGAAGTCCGGCGGTGCCACGGAGGGCGCCGCTGAAAGCGGCGGCGCCGTGGAGAGCGTCGCCACAAGCACGACAGGTCATTTTGGGACCATGCATCGCGACGGGAGCGCCTCGCGGTGGAACAAAGTCTACGGTCTCCGGCGGAAGTCCGACGCGCTGGCGACAACGAAAAGGCTGCTGGCGGACGTGGGGCGGTACGACCTCGGACGAATCGAATGTTTCCGCGTCGACAACGGCACAGAGTGGACCCGCGGCGATTTCCGGCGCTTCTGCGACGACAACGGCATCGGCGTCGAGTTCACCCCGCCCGGCGTCCCGCAGTACAACGGCGTCGTCGAGAGCGCCATCTGGCGGATCATGAAGGCCGGCATGGCCGCCCGCCGGAGCGCTGGCCGTGTGTTCCACGTCGGCTTCGCCTCCATCCCCGGCCTCGACGAGCGTGGTGACCGTCTTTGGATGGAATCGGCGAAGTGGGCCGCCGACGCTCTCAACCAGTCGGCGACCAAGGCCAACCCCGGGCGGCGCTCGCCGCACGAGATGTTCACCGGCGAGCAGGGGCCGTTCCGCGTGCTGCCGTTCTTCCAGCCCGGCTTCATGCGCGAGGACCGCCGCACCAAGCTCGACGACCAGGCCACGCTCTGTTACTACCTGAACGGCGGCGACAACCACCCGAGCGGCACCGTCAAGGTCCTCAAGGCGTCCACCGGCCGCGTCGTCTACACCAACAACGTGTCGTGGGTGACGTCGGCGCCAGCCGGCGAGGGGGGTTCCGCTGGTATCACCGCTGCGCCGACACCCCCCCCGTTCACGCCGCCGGTCGTCTCGATCAACTTTGGCCCAGCACCGACGCCTTCGACCGCCACACCGCCACCGCCAGCGCCCACGCCGTCGCCCGCTCCCGCTCCCGCTGCCTCTTCGACCCCTGCCGCAACGCCGCCGCCAGCGACCACGCCGCCGCCCGCTCCCACGCCTTCACAGCCGCCCTCTGCCACTTCGCCGTCACCATCGGCGACCCCCGCTCCTGGCAATCCGTCCTCTGCCTCTCCGCCGTCACCGTCGGCGACCCCCGATCCAGACCAGCCGCCGCCGCCGCCGGACCCCGCGATGCCCCCGCTTACGGCTCACGCCATGCGGCAGCTTCGCCCGGGTACAAAGGCCGAGGGTATGACAGACCCGCGGCTGCCAAGCCGTACGAGATCGGGCACGAGGCACAGCACAGGACTCATCTCGATGCTAGACAGGAAGTGCGATGCTGGAGGCTTGGAGCGCGGTGGATAAGGAGCGCAGATACTGTGATATCGTGATATCGTACTAGTGTGAAAGGTAAACTACGCGGGGTGCAGCAAGCACGTCCTGGACGTTACTTGGGGCACTGGGTAGTCGGCCGTGTTAGACCGAGAGAGAGAGGTTGAGAGAGAGTTGGAGAGAGAGTGGGAGGAGGAAACTTGATTGGAGAGAGACTGTGGTGGTGGTGGAGAGAGACGGTGGTGGTGGTGGAGAGAGACGGTGGTGGTGGTGGAGAGAGAGAGGGAAGAAGAAGTGCGCAGCACGCACGCAAGCTCCATCGCACCAACCACGCCAAAAGGATCCCCGTGACTGCACCGGTGGTACCCTACTACACACGAAATTCCCAACACGTATCCCCTGGGATCCTCACGACCAGATACTGCTGCGAGTATATCTAACATGGGTTTTTACATCTTCCCCCGCAATCCACACCGCAGGACGGAAACACGACTCGCAGGCGCGAGGCGAGAGTGCCAGTCCCTGCCGAAGCAGGATCCCTTTTGGGGTGACGTCTTATCTTGTCTCTGGCGCTCGAGTCTCTCTCCTCAGCCCTTACCAGCCCTAGTCTGGAATGGAGGGAGGGGAAGGGACAAGATGTGGTGTGTGTTCCTCCGACACAAAAACGGTCAATGTCCATGGTTGGTGAGTTGGTGTTTGGACCACGAGATGTTTCATTCAAAAACACGAAGAACAAGAAAAGTGGGGCATCTCTCTCTCTCTCTCTCTCTCTCTCTTCCTCTCTCTCTCTCCGTATCTTCGCTATGCATCCTACAATATGGACATGAATACCACAGACATGGTTGTACGGGAGCAGGCGGCGATTGAATGTGGCAACGGTAATAACCATGCGAGCGAGTCGATTTTTGCATGGCGATTGTTTCATAGTGCAGATCATGATGCTCAGACGTTACTCTCCCCCGACACTAAACGCCTTGCTTCCTTCGGTTGATCTGTCAAAATGTGTTATCTGGATTGTGACGTCGCGTACAAAAGAAGTAGCTCACAACGCGAACACCTCTCAAAGCCATTCGGTAGGGTGGTATCACGTGCTTGATCTTTCCATGGTATGAAAAAGAAGGAAGAGCATTCGAAAACAACCAGACTTGACAGTTTTCCTCTCGAAAAGGCATGCACCATGGGGGGAACGTGGCGATTGAGTTGAAGAAGGTGGCGGCGTGTAGACTATTATGCCACTTTTCAGAAAAAAAAGGTCGGTTTTCTGTGCATGCTTTGAAGGCAAACACCATGCTGTAGCGTGGGAACCCCTCACCTGCCACATCAAACAATCAGTCGGCCCTCCACTTCCCCCTCTTTTCTCCTGAGGCTGACCTCGGAAAAAAATGCCGGGCTCGAAATGGTCATGGCAACAGCGATAACAAACGGTGCTTGGGTAGTGATGAAGTCGTTCGGTTCCAGCAGATATAATGAAAGCTTAGTACGTCGTGAATCCTTGATGGCCATACCGAAAACCAAAGAGAAAATGAACAGCAGTAGATTCACTTACGACGTCACCGCACACCTTGGATATGCTGTAACTCGTTTGCGATACATCGGCGCCAGGAATATATCTCTACGAAGGGGACGGGGAGTGATCGGTTGCCTCTCCCCCCCCGATGTAACTCTCGTTGGGGGGGCTCTTGACCCTTCTACCCCATAGGACAACAAAATGGCCTGACCCGAGTAAGACCCAAAGCATGCTTAAACTAACGGACTGCTTGTACATACAACAACCTCCCTCCTTGTCCGCTGCAATAACGACCACCACCTCAGCCTCATGCTAGTTACAGCAAAGCTTGGACTTGAGACATTTTTTTCACAATCACGGGCACAAACGTGGTGGAGAACTCCTAGCGTACCACGGACCGCTGACGAAATGCTCGCATCCAAGAGAACATGCCAACTCACGGGGCTTCGAATCGTACACATCGTGCCACGAGGGTCTAAGCGTGGTGTGACTGATCCCCAATCTAGCCACCGACTTACCAAACGCGGCAACCCCCAAAAAATATCTTACACCGTTATCGTGGGCACAAGTCTGTTCTCCTTCCGGCCACGTGTTCCCAACGTCAAAGGCAGCATCAATCACGTGGGTCTCGCGCGCATATATGAATCCTGAGATAACCTACGCGCGTGGAAGACGCGGCGCATGCACGGCCTACAGTACTGATCAATCCCCAAACCGAGCCTTAATTTCACTTTCCGTTTGCCTCGAAGCCGCCATCTTGCCACGGCCTCCACCACCTAACCTCGCACGAGGATCACTCGGCCCTTACGCCGAAGATGGTATTGGTGCTGCCGGCTCGTTATCGCCACCGCCGGCAGGAGGCAGCGATTCCGAAGGGTGTGCCCTTGCTTTGCAGAGGCGATCCTTCATGCTGACGTAGAAGGCACGATCGGCGGCAGACACTGAAGGCTGCGTCCGGAGGAAGGCGTTGTTGAAGTTTGTCGCCATCACTACCGTTCCAGCTCCTATGGGGTCCGTCAAGGAAAGTAGCGAGGTTGACACAAGAGGAAAAAGCACGCCAGATTGCTGTGCTACTGCGAATCTTGAAAGATCGGAACAGGTGACGTTGTTAGCGCTGTCCATAGGTGCGTGCGGTCTGGGAGGGATGGCTCTGCTTGATGTTCTCAAAGGACAATTCGTGAAGGAGGTGCGGTGGGGTTGTCCACTGCCATGTGTGCCACAGAAGCAAAACAATTCTCAGCGCTCGGGAAACATATTACACCACACCTCTCCGAACCTCAAAACTCTGGCAATTTTTCATTAACCCCAGAAGCAATTGCAACATCAATCGGGGGATTCAGCCGATACAGGCAGAGTATGCCAGCCTCTGAAGCCAGCCAGCATACACTTGCTGAATGCGTGGCTTGGGCGAAGAACGACCCCTCCACAAAGTTGGTGTTTTCTCACACCATCGCTGTGTAACCCATGTTCTACGCCTGCGCTGGCTACCAAACAGGAACGATACTCAAGCCAATGCGGAGGGACCCATACCCAGAAATCTACAAGTGCCTCAAATTCGCAGGGGGGGGGCGTATGCCGCAAGCTGGGCTCACCCTTTTCTGTGTAAGCGCCCTTGCCTACGATTAGCTCGCGGCTCTTGAGCTGTCGCAGGACGTCCAGCCCGGCCTCCCGCAATAGCGCCGCCAAGTCGGCTCCGCTGAAGCCTTCCGCCTGTAGCGTTGTCCAGAACAAGCGTTCCCATCATTTATCCAAACCAATGCGACGTTGCCGTAAAAACAAAACCCTTCAAAGACAAGACGCGCCGCATCAGGATCGGAGCAGCACAAACCTCCCCGCATCCAGGTGTGCGTGACTAGTACAGACTTGATATGGTCGTCGCCGTACAGAAATACAGTAGTATGAAGGAGCCCAAAAAAGCTGCATCCACACGATGCTCATGTCTGCACAACGGGAGTGCTGTCATGTAAGGGGTGGTGTTATCTAGAAGTTGTCGTGATACTTAACCAACACATCAAATCGCGGTAGCCTACCTTGGGACTGTGGCCAATCGCATGGAGGTCGACGTCGGGGCCAAGAGAAACGGTGGCGGACAACGCCTTCAAGATGGACACGCGATCAGAGGCGCTGCGGGAAAAAAAATATACAACCCACACAAAGAGGAAGGACGCGGAGTTAGTCAAGCTCTGGAACAACGTTAGGTGAAGCAACGAGGAGCATGTATTTCAAAACCACCCCCAGGGAAAACACGACACACCCTGTAGCCTGCATGGCGATTGAAGAGGCAAGAAACAGCACGTACACAGGGAAGACGGTGGGCAGCACTGAAACTAGCAAGCAGGGGGACCAACACGCGAGGGAGGCGATGTGCGCAGGCAAGTGGAGGTCGACGCATGTTAATCTACCTCTAAACGACGACCGCGAGTGGCAGCGTAGAAGAAACTTGGTGCCATCATGGGTAACTACTGCGGTTACATCGCACTACGCCTGCACCATCACGGTCCCTTGGACCAGTCAACGATCACACACTGGTGCATCGATCTCTGTCTCCAATACAACCTGGATGTCGACAAAATCGCCAAAAAAACGTCCAGCCACAAAACAAAACAAAATGAGCGCCAAGAGCAGAGCCAGAACACAGAAAAAAGTGAGGAATGCCAATACCGAAATTATTTGAGAATTTCACCGGTTTTTATCAAGCATGCATAACGCGAGAGAACCCCCAAACGCTAGGCGATGGGGGCTGTATTTACGGTCGGTTCTCTCACCTCGGCAGAGGAACGTACAGAAGACGGTCAAGCCGGCCAGGACGAAGCATCGCCTGGTCGATGAGCTCCGGCCGGTTGGTGGCGGCAACCACGAAGACGTTTTTTCTAGCCTCCAACCCGTCCATCTCTGTCAGCAGTTGGTTCACCTGACGCGAATCATGCGCCAAGGAGACGGCACAGCAGCACAAGAGGTGAAAGAGCCTATTGTGACCGGTTTGGTTTTCCGTCTGGCTGCTGTCTGTCCCCATACCCGAGGGGATTCTTGGGCCTTTCCCATAGCGATCGACCCCGTTGATAACATCACAAGACGGCCAGCAACGGATGCGCCGCAAGCCAGACTGTTCACGCGCAAACACTCGCTGCACGACCTCCGTCGCCCCCGACCAAAGGCGTCCTACGAGGATAGCACTGTGAGAATGCCTTGATGCCAAAGAAAGTCCCGAGAAGGACAGCCAACCCTTGGCCCTACAGCTACGCATGCTTCCAAAGGATAAAAAATAATCACCACCCGCTCGGTGACCCCGCCCCCCTCGCCCCCACCCCCGCGCTTCGGGCACAGAGCATCCAGCTCGTCGAAGAAAATGATGCATGGGGAGGACGCCCTTGCCCTCTGGAAGACTTGGCGGACGGATTTCTCCGACTCTCCGACGTACTTGTCGAGAAGCTCCGGACCTAAAACGGTTTCGTGTCGTTTGGTGTGTGGCGAAATGCACTTGTTTCTCCAAGTCATCTTAAGTGTTGTCTTCTCGACGCAATTCGTT